GAGAGAGAAGAGAGAAAAACAAGAGAGAGAGATGAGAGCGAGAAAAAACAGAGAAAGCACAGGAGCAGAGAGGGGAGCGAAGAGGTGGGGCGGAGCAACGTGCAGTTGGCAAACAGTGAAGCGACTAGTTCGAGCGGCTTTATGTCGCTCAACATTGGTGCAAGATGGAACCAGAGAGAGCGAGAGAAGAGATGAGCAGCGAAGAGAGAGAGAGAGAGAGAGAGAAGAATGCGAAACCAGAGAGAGCCGGAGAGAGAGAGAGAGATGGAGAGAGAAGAGGAGAGAGCGAGAGAGAGAGAGAGAGAGAGAGAAGAGAGATGAGAGCGAGAGAGAGAGAGATGAGAGAGAGAGAGAGATGAGCCGAGACGAGTAGATGAGGCGCGAGAGAGAGATGAGAGCGAGAAAGAGAGAGAGAGCGCAGCGAGAAGAGAGAGAGAGCGAGAGAGACAGAGCACGCTTGCGCGAGAAGAGAGTGAGAGAGAGAGAGAGAGAGAGAAGAGAGAGAGCGAGAGTAGAGAGAGAGAAGAGAGCAGAGAGAGAGGAGCCGAGAGAGAGAGAGAGCAGAGATTACAGAGAAAGCGGTATTACGGTGTCAGAGAGGTGGGACGGACGGAAAAAAGCAGCAAAGGAGTGAGGCGAAGAGAGAGATCGAGAGGAGAGAGCCGCAAGTAAAAAGAAAAGGGGGATGAGATGTGGGAGCGAGAGCGAGGTATAGAGACAGTAGTGTGTGTAGTGCGTTGCGCCTGTGTGTGTTGGTATGGCGTGCGCGCGTGTGTGGTGGTGTTTGTGCGTGTGCGTGCGTGTGCGTGTGACGCTTGTGCGTTGTGAGTTGTGCGCTGTGCTGTGTGCGGTGGCGTGTGCGGTAGTAGGCGTGTGTTGCATTGTATGTGTGTACGTGTGGCGTGTGCCGTTGTGTGTTTATGTCTGAGAGAGAGGGTGCGAGTGAGAGAAAACGAGAGAGAGAGAGAGAGAAAGAGAGAGAGAGAGAGAGAAAACAAGAGAGAGAGAGAGCGAGAAAAAACAAGAGAAAGACACACTGAGAGAGAGTGGGGGGGGGGAGCGAGAGGGTGGGGGAGAACGTGAGTGGCAAACAGGAAAGCGACTAGTTCATCCTCGTTACTGTTAGCATGCCTGGCACGCATGGCGAGGCACCCGTACAATAATTGCACACATGACCTAAGAATAAGGAATGCCTAGCCCTAATCCAGAGTAAACGAAGGTGGTACGTGCGTGGGTGGGTGGGGCTGAGGGGATGTGCGTACGCTGGCTTGATGCAGCCGGTCGCACCACATCTGACGAATGACTGGCTGCGTCGGCCGGCAATGCAGCGATGTTATATATGCTAAAGCTGGCGTGCCGGTTTGCGCGCATAGAGAGAGGTTGTGCGTAGACGCGGACACATGCTGAGGCGCGAGCCGGGACTTGTTAGCACTCTCGGCAGGCTCCACGACCTGGTCGCCAGATGCTAGCAGAGAGAGTATTGTTCGGCAAGAGAGAAAGAGAGAGAGAGACCGATACGTAGGGAGCGAGAGACCGATACATAGGGAGAGAGAGAGAGACCGATACATAGGGGGAAAGAGAGAGAGCGCGCGCACAAGAGGGAGAGAGGGCGACAGAAGAGGGAGGGAGAGTGAGAGAGACAGAGACAGAAAGGCAGAGAGGCAGACAGACCGACAGCAAGACAGACACACCCACGCACAGGCAGAGAGAGACGGACAGACAAAGAGAGAGAGTTTTAGAGAGAGAAAGAGAAAGAGAGAGAGACACAGATACAGAGAGAGAGATGGAAAGCTAGACCGACTGTTGCCCACACGTGCAGGATGTGACCTCAGACTACGTGTGCGCACGACTCGCAGGATATAGCTGGCTATAGGTCAGGTCGGACCCAGTGAAACATCTTTCCGCGCCAGCTATGTGTACAGTGCACGTGCCATCATCGCGTAGTGAAATTCTCGAGCAGGGCACGTAAATCTGTGGTGATCTGTGCCAATACGTCCTGCACGCGCGCGCGTGTGAAAAGTCAAAGTTCTTTCATCTATACTCCACGCAAATACGCTGGTCGCGCCGGTAAGGAGCCCAGGAAGACACAAACGTGGCGGGAAAAGCTGGATATAGCGTAGGAGTACGTTGCGGTGAGTGTGTGTATCCGCACTCCTATCATGCTGCCGCGTCTCTTGCCGTGATCGTTTGTTGATCATAATGATCAAAATGTTTACGCTTGTGAAATAATACCGCAGGAAGAATATTCTTAGATTCTTCTTCCCACGCTTTGTAACCTGGATGTGAAAAGAGAGCGCTTTGTAACCTGAAGGTGAATTGAGGGCGCTTTTGCAAGCGGATCGTGGATAGAGAGCGCTTTTGTAAGCTGAGGATGACTAGATCGAGCGCATTGTAAGCTGAATATATGAGTATAGGGAGAGGGCGCTGTGCGCGTTTACGATAACCAGAGGACGCTTTGCAGACTGAAAGTGAATAGAGCCCGCGACACTCCCTCAGCACACTGAAGGAGCAATAATGGCCGTGGCGTCTGTCATCGCGTCCGATCTATCGGACTGGCGCTACAACATCAGCGCGTACAACGCGTCGGCCGGTGCGAACGATGGCGCCACCGTCGTGCTCTACTCTGCGGCGCTGTGCCACCTGGCGTTGTTCTTCTGCGTGCTCTACGTCGTCGTCGGCGTGCCTGGCAACCTGCTGACGGTTGCCGCGCTGCTGCACTCGCGTCCGCTGCGCACCAGCGCCACCAACCAGCTCGTAGTCAACCTAGCCGTCGCCGACCTCGTCTTCTGCGCCGTCAGCCTGCCCGTGCACGCGACGCGCTACGTGCGCCGCGCCTGGACGCTCGGCGGCGCCCTCTGCCGGGCCTTCCCGCTCGTCTTCTACGGCAACCTGGCCGTGTCGATACTGACGATGATGACGATCGCCGTCAATCGCTACCTCGTCGTCGTGCACGGCGCCCTCTACCGGCGCGCGTGCGCCGGCAGCGGCGCCACGGCGGCAGCTATCTTCTTCTGCTGGGCGTTCGCCGGCGCGATGCTGCTGCCGACGTACGCCGGCGCGTGGGGCGAGTTCGGATTCGTCGCCGAGACGTTCTCTTGTTCGTTTCTCGCGAAGGACGGCCGCGACGCTCAGCCGTACCTCTTCGCTATCGGCGTCGGCGTGCCGCTCGCCGTCATGGCGCCCTGCTACGCGCGCATCGTCGCCGTCGCGCGCGCGTCGGCGGCGCGCGCGCAACCAGGGCGGCACCACCGTCGCGCCGAGGAGCGCGCGCTTACGCTAACGTCGCTCGCCGTCGTCGTGTCGTTCGTCGTCTGCTGTGCACCGGTCGCCTTCGTCACGTACGCCGTCGCCGAGCGCGACGCACCCTTGCTGCACGTCGGCGCGTCGGTGCTCGCCTGGACGACGGCCGTCGTCAACCCGTTCATCTACGCCTTCACGAACCGCAACTACCGGCGCGCCTACGCCGACCTGCTGCTCGCTGTCGCCGGCAGGGGGCGCGGCGCCACGCGGCCGCGCTGGGCGAGCGCGACGCGCGGCAAGCAGCAGCGATCGTCTGCGACGATCAGTCTCCCTGGCAACGTGACGCTCGATCTGACGAGTCTCGGCATCTCGCTGTCGCAGCGCGCGCGCAGCCAGAGGTCAAGGTCGAGGTCACGGTCGGCGTCGTCGCCGCGCTCGCCGCGCTCGCCGACGGCCGTGACGTCGGTGTGAACCCCCGGGGGCGCGCGCGTCGGCGAGCGGAGAGGCAACATTAGCCGAGCGGGCAACATTAGACGGGCGGGCAACATTAGACGGGTGACATTTGACGGCATCGCCCGGGCAACATTGAGTGAGAATCACGTGTTCTCGGTAGGGACGGATATGCAAGGGTGCGCTTCCGCCATTCTGTGTTCATCGGGACAGAATCGGAGTGACATTCCCCGAGGTTTCCACGCATGGAGATGAGCCGAAAGTGTCGAGGGTATTGCATCTACTGATAAGCGCCAGCAGTTACCCCTGTTACCCTTACCACTTGCTGGAATATTCGCATGGTACATTTGGAGTACATCATTAAAGTTTTTTCTATAAAATGTTTTGTTTTTCGCGTCTTTTTCTTATGAGGAGTGATCTCGCAGTGTTCTCGCATATCAACGCTAAACATCACACATCGCGCGTATATATATATATATATATATATATATAGTAGAGAGAGAGAGAGA